CCCCAAAACCCCAAAACCCCATATAATTTTTATATAAATATTTTGAAGATAAATTAAATAAAGAGAAATATAATTTTTCGAGAGAATGACTTTTAAAGGTGGAAAGATTAAGGATATACTAATAAAAGATGAGTTCGTTACTGAGTTTCAAACTAAGCTCCCTAGACTGACCAGCCTTGAATCCATAAAAAGTACCGATGTTCCTAAGTGGGCTTCATCAGATGAAAAAAATCTGAACAGCAGGAGAGGAAAAAACTTGTCATCTAGAATTGACTATCTTCAGCCTACAAATAAATCAGATCTCAAGATGCCAAACTTGGAGTAAGTCACTTCAACTTAGATATCTCAGCAGAAGTGGAAGCAAACTCTTGAATGCTTGAATAAGTTTTACTTGGATGAGAAGCAAGTTAAGAATGTAGAGATGAGACAGCTCAAAAATCTAACTCTTACACCTAGCAATAATCAATTGCATCTAGACGCCATAGCAGCTGCAGTCACTTAAGCATAAATCTTAGAAGAGGTGTTGAGTCCCAAGAAGAACATGAACAAGATAGTCAAGTTCAGACCAGCTAATAGATACGAAAATTACTCTTAAGTTTAAGCTGAAAGTAGTATCAATAATGAACAAGACCCGCAATCGAATGCACTAGCAAGTTCTAACAACTAATCCTAACTCGGTCCTGGGTATTATTAGCCTAGCTATAATTTAGTCAAGAAGCATAATCCTGAGTTTGAGTTTGAACATAAGACTAGCAATTTTCATGCTAGAAAGCAGTCGAATATAGATCACACTACTGAAGTCAAGCAGAAGCTTGAGGTCAAGCAGTTTATTAAGAGTTTGTTTAAATAGAAAGAAATGAGATTAAGCCATGATGGCAGTAGTTTTAATAAGAACTCATCACGGAATTCCCAATTCAACACTTCACTACCATGGCCCTGCTTCAGATCTGGACAGCCATAGATAATGCCATTGGAATAATGGAAAAAAGATATGCCAGGACCAGGCACTTATGATAATAGCTAAAATCTTAGTGTGCTTTAATCGCTTTAGAAGACCAGATAGTTTGATAAATAAAGTCCTAAGAATAGTACCTTACTATATTCTTTAGATAGTCCATTTAATCCTATAACTAGCATTTATAACCCACCAGCAGGATACTATTTCAGCGATCGAAGACAAAGCAATGGGAAGCAGGAACATTATCGCAAGGCAAAAGGATTCCTGACATTGACTTAATAGCTTGGTGATAAAAATAGAAATTCACACAATGCCACTTAGCTCTAAGAAGAGGAAGAAGCTACGAAGAACAATGAGATATATAACTTTAGTAGGAAGAATGATATTGCTCTAGTTGTAAATGATAAAGTATAATTGCCCTAAACAATCTAAAATAACTTAGATAAGTCTGTGAACAAATCATAGGACTCTATAGGGCCAGGATCATATAATCCAAAATAAGCTATTAAGAATAAAAAAGGAATTGTTGCTATTTTACCTTTTAAGTCAACAGTCAGGAGATTTGCTAGCAAGCCTAGAGATATAGTAAATGTAGACATTGATTTGATAAAATACAGTTCTTTTAATCCAAAATAAGAGCAACACCCTTCTCCGACTTTCAAGTCCAAAAGCAAGCGAACAATAGTATTTGATAACTCTAATACTAATGAGGTAGAACCAAAGAGAGTTAATAATCACTTTTCAAAGGAAAGACCGATGCCTGAATACTTTTCCATCTCCTATAGATAACCTAATAAATTTGTAAGTCATAAGGAACTAAAGAGTCAACAGAGCAATGCACCATTTAATGTTGTCAGTCCTAGGTTTAACAAGGAAGATTATAAGAACTACAAATTTGACATTATTCAATATATAGATTCTCAAAAGCAGACTTAAGAGAAAATATCTCACTCAATTGAGATTAGAGGTCTCTAATCTGATAAGAACAACATTTCTAACTCTAGTCTTAATCAGTCTCAACCTAATGAAATATCTAAGATAGAAATTTGAATATTATTAAACTTTAATTTCATAACTCAATCATTAAATTAAGATTAATTATCATCATCTCTGCTGAACTCAGAATTCTGGAGTAGTGTTCTTGCCATAGTTGTAGGAATCAATTTTAGATTACTTAACTAACCTCTGAATGAATGCCTCGTATGAAGCATAGCCCATTCTAATTCTGATGTCTGACCCTACTGCAGTGTCCAAGGATAGTATGAACTTCAAGTACTGATACAAGAAATGCATGTGCCTATCATCAATAAAGTCAGTAGTGCCAACTTTTGGATGATACATTGGCAGGACTAAGTCATTTCTTTGGAAGTCTTCCATCTTGTTATAGAAATTGCTAACCACTATTGTGCTCTGCTCATCATATTAGGGGTACTTCTGGAATATCGAGCCTAGATTTCTTGAAATGGGCACTGGCTTGATTTCTTATTCTTCTACTGATTCTGCATAGTCTTTTCCCTGCAAGCCCTTCCTGTTTGTAAACGATACAAATAGTAGACTATAATTTATTCATAATTTGCATATATTACTGAGGAAAGAATCTGCCGAACAGGTACTTGAGTTAGACCTGGGTGTTTTCTCGACTCTGACATGACCATACTCCAATATCGAATTTATCTTTCATTTTCAACAAGATATCATGGTTTATATATTTGAGATTAGGTCTTTGATAGATTTATTAATGTGCATCTTAGAAGACTGGCTTGATCAGTTCATTTCCAGTGTAGATACCTTGCTATGATACAGTTTTGAGATTCTTATTCACATAGCCGAGCGTACCATTCAAGTCGAACAGCAATAGGATCTGTATAAATATTTATGATAAGGGGTTAGTTTATTTACTTTATCTGCAGCAGATTTTTTAGCAGCCATTGATTTCTAATTATAATAATTTTAATTTGATTTATCAATTATAATCGAAAATTAAATATAAAAGGAATGCAAATAGCTACTGGAGTTAGCGAGAAGATCTTGATCAATTTGCAAGACAAGTATGTTTAATGTTAAAAATCTGATAAAATGCAATAGAAATCTAGAAAAAAGGAAATAGGCAGCATAGGAATTGCAGTAGCAGATTGAAAGCATGATGAGAGATAAAAATGAAAATGAGATCAAAAGCAAGATTCAGATGTTCCTAGTCTTCTCAGACAATGAGACTCCTGCTAAAAGGAAATCATGTTTATACGGTATTGCTGTCATCATTATCACTTTGTATTAGAAGGTAAGATCTTAAAATGTTGAATCTATTTCAACTTAGAAAGCTATGAATTATCTTCCAATGCTCAAGGAATCTCTACTAAAGTCATTTAGAGATAAAGATGCAAAAGTTCAGAATGCTGGCTTTGATACTTTGTTCAACATTATCAAGATATGCAAGGAAGCATTTTTATTTGATGAGCCTCTGTTCAAGGAGTTCTTCGATGCAATCTGCACATCAATAGCTGACTAACTGAGTGAGTCCAAAGAGTGGGCAAAGAAATGCAATGAACTGCTCAGAGATGTAGTCTACGTTGCTTGCTAGAAGTAATTTATATCATAACATATTTCCACAGCTACAACAACTTTGACTTGAATATGTTCATCTAGTTCATCACTGACAAATTCGTCAATGCTAAGAACAATGACTTCGTAGTAACTATGCTAAGGTGGATTGAACTCATCCACTCAATCAACAACATACCCATCCTCAACATGATGCCTGATATATTACCAAGGCTGTTGCAGAATCTAAACACCAAGCCTACTCAGTCGAACAAGAGTGAGGCTGGCCATCAGAGAGATATAAGCAAGAAGTCTTAAGAATAATTGATGAGATTTCTGAATGAGTTTCACAACAAAGACTACAGGACACTCTATCTTGAAAATCAAATTATCGACACACTTCTAGCACATCTATTGAGAAAAAATCCTGATTAATCATAGAACTAGCATGAGCTATCAAAATTAGAAGCATTGATATGGCTTAGAGAATTTCTGATATTTTTCCAAAAAGACTTTCACGAGATTGCTCAAGAATAAGAAGAGAGCCAGCAGAGAAAGTTTAATGAGATGGTATTGAAATAAGAAAAATAAGATTAAGAGCATGCAAATTAGAACCACCAACTAGTTACCTTAGAGTCTATGAACTCTGAATTCTAACAAGAATTCTCTCAAAATGAAGATCCCATGATTATGCCACCAATCGACGACAACGTCAATCTTGATTATTTGGATGCGAAGAGCATTGTCGAAAACAACTTTGAAAGGTAGTATCCAGCGATTATTAAGGTCATAGTCAAATATGCCAACATTGTGAAGGGAGACTACTTGAGAGTGGTAGAGATGATCAACTCAACTCTGCTGTCATTGCTGATACAAACTATGGATAGTAAGGATGAGTTTCAATATATATTCAATGAACTCAAAAGACAGTTCAGAGATAGCAAGACTGTAAGGATATTAGTTGATATTAATGAGTATAGACTAAAACCAAAGACATTATCTTGGACTGGTTCATTGAGCTGTTTAAGGAGTTTTAGGAAGACATCATTGAATTCTACAATGATATATTTGACGAATTGATCAGCAGTCTCAACTTTTAAGAGTAAAATGTAAGGTATTATGAATTTACTAATAATTGTAGATTGTGAACAAAGTATTGGAACTACTGAGTATGCTTTCTAAGTCTAATGAAAAATATCTGAGAAAAACAATTAAGAAGCTTATTGAGAAAATTCATTCGATGGGAGATCGTAATCAGTTCATAGTAGGCTAGGTAATCTAGGTCTTATGCTAATCAATTAATGACGAGAGAGTATTTCTGGAGTTTGGAAGAGTTCTTAGGGACTATCAAAATGACTTATACTTTATTGAAGAGATGATTGACTTCCTCACTTATACTATCGCAGGTGATTAGTATCATGAGAGCTTTCGATTGAAGCTAAGAGGTAAAAAGCCAACTGAATGCTTAGCAAGCAAAGAAAAGCTATTCAATGCTTTGCTTAAGACTTGGAGTTATAACTCAGTATCAACAATTTCTCTCTGCTTGATTACAAGGAATTATGAACTGGCTTACTACATAATTTTTAGATTTACTCAAATTCAAATAGACAAGGATAAACTAGTGCAGTTCAGCAAACTTGTTCAGTTACTAGAGTCCCCTACCCTTGCCTGTATAATTTATAATGATAATCCAATTTAGATTTGAGAATCGAGCTTATGAGTAATACTCTGCAGCAAAAATATCTTATTAAAACACTCTAAGGTATACTGATGATTCTTCCAATTTGCAAGTCATTTTACTGTCTCAAGACAAGGATCGAGTGTGTTAAGTTTTCTAAGCTCGACCCTCCTTTAAAGCAATCAACCATTGATCAGCAATTCTTTGGCTAGCCGTATGAGTTTAATGATTAATTTAAAATGGATGACATCCTCAGACAGTTTGACTAAAAGGTGATAATTATGAAAGACTTTTATGAAAAAAGAGATAAATTGAGGGAGGAGATATTCAAGCTTGAAAAATAAAAGCTAAAAGAACAGAGTCTTAGGGCAATGCAGTAGAATCCTCAAGCTCCAAATGACGGTCTTACTAAAAGAATATCAGCTGCTTATTCGTATGTCATTCCAGTCAATCAAAAACTGCCTCCTAAGTGAGAGGGAAATAATGTTGAAACCACTAAATCTATTATAATCTTTAATTTAATAATTTCAATTTTATATATCTTAATATGAAATAGCTCTGAAGGGGTTTTGGGGTTTTGGGGTTTTGGGG